GTCTTCTGGCTCTTTAATATTTAAACTGGCAAGGCTTAAATGAGTTTAGTTTAAACCCAGATAGCAACGTGTGCTGTTCAGGTCTCACCTGCGCTATCAACACGTGATGAGGGCATAAATGACAGTTATTCCAGCATAAAGCACTCGCATTGATTAAAGAGTGACTGGCTTGTCCACATATTGTTTTTTTTCTCTCTCTCATCGCTCTTGTTATTGGGAATGGTTATTGGTTAATGGGAAGCCAGAATTTGTATCCATCAACAGAAAAATGCATTAGCCGAACTCTATAACAAACCCTATTACAGATGCATTGTCAGATTTAAGTTGAACCGCGGTCCTAGTATATGCCGAACCGTGTGTGGAGAACCGGACAGACAGACAGACAGACAGACAGACAGACAGACAGACAGAAAAAGAAGGAAAGCAAGAAAGAAAGAGAATGACAGACAGAGAAAGAAAGAAAGCAAGCAAGAAAGAGACGGACAGACAGAGAAAGAAAGAAAGAGACGGACAAACAGAAAGACAGAGAAAGAAAGCAAGAAAGAAAGAAAGAGACGGACGGACGGACGGACGGACGGACGGACGGACGGACGGACGGACGGACGGACGGACGGAGAAAGAAAGCAAGAGAGAAAGAGACGGACAGACAAAGCAAGAAAGAAAGAAAGAAAGAAAGAAAGAGACGGACAGACAGACAGAGAAAGAAAGAGACGGACATACAGAGAAAGAAAGAAAGAAAGAGAGACGGACAGACAGACAGAGAAAGAAAGAGACGGACATACAGAGAAAGAAAGAAAGAAAGAGAGACGGACAGACAGACAGAGAAAGAAAGAGACGGACATACAGAGAAAGCAAGAAAGAAAGAAAGAAAGAGACGGACAGACAGACAGAGAAAGCAAGCAAGCAAGAAAGAAAGAAAGACGGACAGACAGACAGACAGACAGACAGAGAAAGAAAGCAAGAAAGAAAGAAAGAAAGAGACGGACGGACAGACAGACAGACAGACAGAAGAAAGAAAGAGACGGAAAGAAAGAGACAGACGGACGGACGGACGGACAGACAGACAGACAGACAGACAGACAGAGAAAGAAAGCAAGCAAGAAAGAAAGAGACAGACAGACAGACAGAGAAAGAAAGCAAGAGAGAAAGAGACGGACAGACAAAGCAAGAAAGAAAGAAAGAAAGAAAGAGACGGACAGACAGACAGAGAAAGAAAGAGACGGACATACAGAGAAAGAAAGAAAGAAAGAGAGACGGACAGACAGACAGACAGAGATAGAAAGAAAGAGACAGACAGACAGACAAAGCAAGAAAGAAAGAGACAGACAGACAGACAGACAGACAGACAGACAGACAGACAGACAGACAGACAGAGAGAAAAAAAGAAAGAAAGAAAGAAAGAAAGAAAGAAAGAAAGAGACAGACAGACAGACAGACAGACAGACAAAGCAAGAAAGAAAGAGACGGACATACAGAGAAAGCAAGAAAGAAAGAGACAGACAGACAGACAGACAGACAGAGAAAGCAAGAAAGAAAGAGACAGGCAGACAGACAAAGCAAGAAAGAAAGAGACAGACAGACTGACTGACAGAGAAAGAAAGAGACGGACATACAGAGAAAGCAAGAAAGAAAGAAAGAGACGGACAGACAGACAGAAAGCAAGAAAGAAAGAGAGAAAGCAAGCAAGAAAGAGACAGACAGACAGACAGAGATAGAAAGAAAGAGACAGACAGACAGACAGAGATAGAAAGAAAGAGACAGACAGACAGACAGAGATAGAAAGAAAGAGACAGACAGACAGACAGAGATAGAAAGAAAGAGACAGACAGACAGACAGAGATAGAAAGAAAGAGACAGACAGACAGACAGAGATAGAAAGAAAGAGACAGACAGACAGACAGAGATAGAAAGAAAGAGACAGACAGACAGACAGAGATAGAAAGAAAGAAAGAGACAGACAGACAGAGATAGAAAGAAAGAGACGGACAGACAGACAGACAGACAGACAAAGATAGAAAGAAAGAGACGGAAAGAAAGAGACAGACAGACAGAGATAGAAAGAAAGAGACAGACAGACAGACAGATTGAAGGGCTTCGCCAGTTCAATGGTCAAATGTTTAAATAAATGCAAGTATTATAAGCAAATAAACTAAACAATTTACAAAACGGGAGACTATTCATGAAACCTCTGAGTTTCAATATTTGTTTGAAATCAAAGGGAAGTGTTGATGTGTAGATATAGATTGTAGTGAAAGGAGTTCAGGTGATCAGAAACAGGAAGATGAGCTGAGTGTGTAACGGGAACCCCTCGGGTGTGTCGTTGTGAATGTGTTTGAGCAGTCAGAGATCAGACCCAACACAAGACGCTGGAATGTCTGCCATGAGGACAGAAGATGCTGCTGACGGGAAGAGCACAGCTAACGGAGGAGGAGACGTGTGTGAGGAGAGGGGCGTCACCGTCCTCAGGTACAGAGACTCTGATGAGCATCTCCTGTAAGAACATGCTTGAGGTGTGCTCAATGCAGTGCTGTTATTCTTATTAACTGAAGCTAATAAAAATAATTTGCCTTAATTTACATAAAACTGAAATGAATCAAAATAGAAATATTAGATGAATAACTTATTTGTTAATTATGCAAAAATAAAAGCTTATTCAAAATACTATAATAGCATATAAATAATACTAAAACAACATTGTTTCAGTGCATGACTGTTGAACGTCCTCTCATCCCTACAGGCCTACAGATCTCTCCGAGATGTTGGCGGCAGGAACCAAAGAAGTTCACGAGAAGGCCGAAAACACAGAGTTTGTCAAAGACTTCCTGAGGGGACGCATTCGCAAAGAGCTCTTTAAGGTAAACGGATCAGTCAGTCATGACCGATTTAAAGACATCATTCACAACACATGTAACTTTCATAATATGCCATATTTCTGATTGAAACAGGACATTTAGTGGAAAATAATGTACTGGGATTTATACATAATTTTATCATATTAAACTTTAGTATGCATTACTTTTGAAGCATGATTTTTGTCTGGCAGACGATAAAACGAGTAAAATCCCTAATAATGCAACCACATAGCCAGGGTTATTATTTTTAAGTACAACTAAAATGAAAACTAAAAATAAAACCATGAAATAAAACATTTTTATTGAACACCAACTGAAATAAAACATTTAAAAAATGTATTTTAAAACTGATTTTATTTCAACTAGTTGCCCAGATGTAATTTCTCATTTTCTTCTAGTTTAATTGAAGGTACTAAAATAATTAAAATTAAAACAAAAGTAATAATAATAATAATAATACATTTATTTTATATAGCGCCTTTAAAAGTTGCTTTCTCAAGGCGCTTAAGAATGGCACTACTAAAATTGTAACTGAAATTACAATGAAAACAGGAAATATAAAAATATAACATTCAAAAATATAATAGACATTAAGGAAAATTCTAATAATATTACATTAATAACATTAATAAAAATAATAATATATCAGTGATACTAACATAACTCTTCACATATTTTACTATTATTTATATACTATTGTAGTATTTAGAATTTTTTTGAATTAGCTTCTATTTTTGATATTTTTTGATAGTTTTCATTTTAAATTTAGTTTAGGCTTAAGTAACTTTATGTGGTTTTGTCATGTTGTTATTATTATTTTAAATATTTCTATTTAGCTTTAAATTGATTTAATTTTTTAGTAATTTTAGCACTTATTTAGGTTATTTGCCAGGGCAACATTTTTGTCTAACTTTTAAGTTTTTCATCAAATATTTATATTTTTCTATTTACTTTATTTCAACTAAACTAAAACAAAGCCGTTTAGTTTGACTTGATTGTGATATGGTGATTTGTGTTTGTGTCATCAGCTCGGTCACGTGGCTTTATTCTTCACGTATTCGGCGATGGAAGAGCAGATCGAGAGAAATAAAGAGCATCCTCACTTGGCGGCGCTCTACTTCCCTCATGAGCTGCACCGGCGGGACGCTCTGGCTCGGGATCTGCAGTACTTCTACAGCGAGGGCTGGCAGAACCAGATCAGTGTCTCTCCCGCCACCCAGCGCTACGTGGAGCGCATCCAGCAGATCGGCCAGGACGAGCCCGCGCTTCTCGTGGCTCACGCTTACACCCGCTACATGGGCGACCTCTCGGGCGGGCAGGTGCTGAGGAAGGTGGCCCAGCGCGCCATGAAGCTGCCGCCCACAGGAGAAGGGCTGAACTTCTACCAGTTCGACGGCATCCACAGCGCCAAGGCCTTCAAACAGCTGTACCGCAGCCGGATGAACGAGCTGGAGCTGGACACACACACCAAGCAGAAGATCGTGGAGGAAGCCATCCTGGCCTTTCAGTTCAATATGGAGGTGAGCAGCGCTGTAGAAAAAAGCTGGTGTTTCAGTTGTGATTTAAAAAGGGTCGTATAGTCTTTTTTATTATTTCATTTTTTTCCTGTGGTCTTCTTTTAATGCTTAGCGAGATTTTTTTTTTGCACCAAAAATATAATTTAGTAGTTGATTTTTATGATTATTTTCCTAGGAGAGCTACCTAAAAATGTCAGTGATAAAAAAGGAATCAGTGATTTAGTTTATTAATTCAAATTTGAAATTAAATAAACATAATTATATATACATACATACATAACATATTAATTTATAAATGTATTTTTATTAATTAATTATATATATATATATATATATATATATATATATTTGTTTCACAAAGTATTGGTAATTTTATTTCAAAATTTTCACTTTTCTGCATAGACATGTAAATATATACAATTTAAATAGACATGTAAATATATTAAATTATTTATTTATTTATTATAATTTTCATATTTTTACATTGTATTGGTAATTTTATTTCAAAGTTTTCATTGTCAATTTTGAAATTTAATAGACAAAATATATGTGAGTATAAAAAAATGTATTAGTGTATTTTATTATTTTGATATTATTTTTTCATATATTTACAGTGTATTGGTAATTTGTATTTCTAAGTTTAAAAAAAAAAATATTTGTTTGTTTTTTATATTTACCTACATTTAAAAATTTTGAACTCTCCCCCCCACATTTTTGTTTGAAGTGATTTATTATTTTTATAATAATAATACTATTTATGATTCTTTATTCAAATAAAAGAAATATATAATAGTTTTTCATATTTTTTAACTATTTTATTGGCAAATGGATAAGGCAAAGTTGTTTTCTAAATTAAAATGATTAAATGCCATTTTAAAATGTAATTACGTTTCAAATTAACATTGCATTTAATGTAGTGTTACATTTAACTACATTTTAAAATGATAAATTATTGATGAACAATGATGAAATATTTTTACATTTTTCTATTTGAAATAAAACATTTGTCATTGATACGTTCTGAAAGTTGAACTTTGTCAAATAATGAAGTAAAATGTGATTCTTCATGATAAGAGTGCTTTAAAGGATAGTGTTGATCATGATTAATTAAAGATTAAAGATCTGCTGTTTGTGACTTCCTCTGAGGTTTTTCCACTAACACTGAATGAATGAAACTAATGACCCATTTATAATCACTCTCTCTGTCATCAGCTGGAGAGCTCTGCAGTCTCTCTATTAGACTGATCCGTTCGACTGAAGTTAATATCACTTCTCTCTCCAGTGAGCGTGTGATTAAAGATAAGAGTCTGTGCTGCTCTGTGTGGCTTGAGTCTCATCCGTCAGCAGATGGAGACTTTGTCCTCACAGCAGATTACAGACGAGCTCGGAAATGAAATGGACAAAACTGGGTCAAAACACAATCTCACATTTGGCCAGCTTCCTTTGAGAAAACGTTTGATTGTTTGCAGTGAGATGTAATTGAATGTGTTGTGTTCATGTAACGCCACACTCATGACACTGAGCTTTCCATTGAATGCGTGTCATTTCCTCAGTGCTCACTCACTGTTTCCTGTCATCTCTTACTGTAAACGTCCTTTTGTGCTGCATGCAGATTTTTGGAGAACTAGAGGAGGTTGGAAAACCCCTTCAGGACGATGTTTTGGATGCCGCTCCTGCTCATGGCGAGATGCAAGGAGACATCAGCCAGTGTCCGTACTATGCGGCCAAAATGGGTAAACTAGCATGACCAGATTATTTAATCCACACCTTAATTACACTTTAAACCAGGGGTTCACAAACTTCTCAGTTGAACCCCTTAGATGTGAAATACTTGCATGACCCCCTGAAATAATAATTATATATATATATATATATGTATGTGTGTGTGTGTGTGTGTGTATATATATATCTTTTATTTAGGTGTCTATGTATTTATTTATTTATTTTTATTTAATGTTTAATATTATTTATATAACATACTCATGGTTCTCTGGAACAGGTTAATGGTCACATGACATACAAGTAAACCGATAAAATATATATATATATATTTATTTTTTTTATTTAAAACAGTTTAAATTAAATAATAATTAACCTTTATTATTATTCATTTTAACTAATTATATAATTAAGACATGTATAATTACGAATGTATTACTGTTGTAAATGACAATTGTAATGCAAAAAAAAAATTATTTTGATAATTATAATAATTTTATCATTTTATTTTGGTGGAAAGTATATATATACTGAGATACTTATTTAAATTGCAGACTTCGATTTTATAATTGCTAAGTTATATCACTGTTACACTTTTTATTTTGATTAATCATGCAGCCCTAATGATCTATTTAAATTTTATTTTCAAATGTATTAGTTCGTAACTTTTCATAAATTCACGAACCCCCTACAGTTCCTTTGCAAAACCCTAAGAAATGAAACTGTTGATATACTAATTTTATGTCTTCTATTTCAGCTGCCAGCGGCGGATCGTCTTACATTTGTCGAATGGCCATGACCGTGCTTAAAAATCCTTCCGGTCAAGTCCTATTGGCCGCCTGGATCGCTGCTCTAGCCGGATTGGCTGCTTGGTACCTCATGTGACCTCCTGTTACCCAATGAGAGGAGAAAAGGGTCCGATAATAGACAAGAACAAATTGTTCTCTTAGTGCATCCCATTTGCCCCCTTGTTCTTGGGTAAACGTGATTCATTCTTATGAACATAGCATAGTTTATGCATAGTGGGTTATTGTGGGAGTTGTTACTATTGCACCTGTCAGTGTTGATGAAGTTAAAGGAGTAACTTACCCAAAAATGAAACTTTGCTGAAAATGTACTCGCCTTCGGGCCATTCAAGAGGTTGTTTGTTTAGTCATCGGATCAGATTTGGAGAAATTTAGCATTACATCACTTGCTCACCAATGAATGGGTGCCGTCAGAATGAGAGTCCAAACAGCTGATAAAAATACAAAAACAATCCATCCCATTTTCCTCTCACATAATATTTGTTTACAACTGTTATGGACTGTTTTTGCTTGTAAACGGTGCTTGATCTGTGCATATTTCTCAATTGATTCAGACGAAATTTTTCACTGGCGAAAGCAATATTATGGATAGAGGACAGTATTTTAGCTGGAAGTAATGATTTGAAGTTAAAAACGTCTTCATGGTGGATTTGTTTCTTACAAGACAGTAACTGATGGACTGGAGTGGTGTGGATTATTGTGATGTTTTTATCAGCTGTTTGGACTCTCATTCTGACGGCACCCATTCACTGCAGAGCATCGATTGTTGAGCAAGTGATGTAAATCTACATTTCTCCAAATCTGATGAAGAAACAAACTCATCTACATCTTGGATGGCCTGAGAGTGAGCACATTTTCATTTTTAGGGTGAACTATTCCTTTAAGGCTGGAGAAGAACTGCAGAAATATGCAGAATGTTATTTTTATAGTTTTATCACAGTATCGAGTCAACTTATGGGCCGAAACATACTCTACGCAAGTACGTGAATGCAAATGCTTATGGCTACGCAAACTTGATTTCGTACATCATAGTAATTATGTTTTGCATTTTCAGTTGTCACCATAGGGAGTGCTATAGTGGCCATTAGTGCAAACTGTCATCTTCTACAGCCGGTTTCTCTTTGGTTTAATGAGACAGACATGTAAAGGAAACTCTATCGGCCCTTTGAGGTAGGATATCGCAAAAGTAACATAAATGTGCATGTACAACAGGACATTTGCGCACTTGTGCAGAGGATGTTTATGCAAATAACATAACATTTTTCAAGCTTGCTTTCAAATGAGATATGCTATGCATACATGCAGCATTTACAAAGAAAAGCAGCACTTCTGCAGGCCAGACTACTGAGACGTCACGTCAGGAAATGACTGGCACAACGGTTCACGAAGAAAAGCCTTTTCGAAGAGGTTTAGCATGTAAAAGATGGAAGAATTGCACATTAAGGTAATTTTTGTCTCATTACACGATATATCACAGACTGGCATTCAGGGTTATTCTACACAGACGGTTAAAGCACAAGATTTCTGGATTTTAGTTTCACTGATCAGCCAAAAATTCCTATGGAAGCCCGTTTCCGCCACCGAATAAAATTATACTTTTTTTTTCTCACAATTGCAAATTTACATCTCGCAATTGTGCTTTTTTTTCTCTCAGAATTTCGGGATATAAACTCGCAATTGTTGAGTTATAAAGTCCAATTCTGAGGGAAAAGACAATTGAGAGTTTATATCTTGCATTTCTTATATTTTTTTCTCGCAATTGAGAGTTTATATCTCGTAATTTGCGACTTAATTTCAACAGAATTGCGTTATATAAAATCACAGTTCTGAGAAAAAATTCTCACAATTGCAAATTTACATCTCGCAATTGTGCTTTTTTTCTCTCAGAATTTCGGGATATAAACTCGCAATTGTTGAGTTATAAAGTCCAATTCTGAGGGAAAAGACAATTGAGAGTTTATATCTCGCAATTCTGATATTTTTTTCTCGCAATTGAGAGTTTATATCTCGTAATTTGCGACTTAATTTCAACAGAATTGCGTTATATAAAATCACAGTTCTGAGAAAAAATTGTTGCAATTGTGAGTTGCTGTCATGCAATTCTGACTGTATAACTCGTAATTGTAAATTTATATCACGCAATTCTGAAAAAAGTCCGAATTCTGAGATTAAAATTCGCAATTACCTTTTTTTATTCAGTGGCAGAAACAAGCTTTCGTAGTTTTAACTCGTGGTTGACCTGAAATTAGTTTTTAAATGGCCAATGATATCTGGAGGGCATATATAACCAATAAACCGATATTATTAGAAAGCAATTAAAACAAGGGAACAATGCTGAATTAGTATACTGTATTTGTACAAGCTAGAATCGTTCTTTAGGTGATTCATTGATCTGACTTTGTTATAACGAAATTATTAACATGGCGACACTTTACAATAAGGTTCATTAAAGCAATAAGCCCCAAAAAGCCGTGGTTTACACCCCTCAGCTGTTATAAATTCACTGTAAACCACGGCTATAAAACGGTTATTCCATATACGTAGTAAGGTTTCACAGAATAAAAAAATGGCCAATGATATCTGGAGGGCATATATAACCAATAAACCGATATTATTAGAAAGCAATTAAAACAAGGGAACAATGCTGAATTAGTATACTGTATTTGTACAAGCTAGAATCGTTCTTTAGGTGATTCATTGATCTGACTTTGTTATAACGAAATTATTAACATGGCGACACTTTACAATAAGGTTCATTAAAGCAATAAGCCCCAAGAAGCCGTGGTTTACACCCCTCAGCTGTTATAAATTCACTGTAAACCACGGCTATAAAACGGTTATTCCATATACGTAGTAAGGTTTCACAAAATAAAATGGAGCAAATAAAGTGTAATGATATTAATAAAAACAGTATTCTTCCACCAAACAATGTAGTTACTCAGAATCAGTTGTGGTTCCCAAGCAACACACAAAGTAAACAAAGGTGTGTGTTTGTAGAGTAATTTACAACAGCTTCGAACGCAGCTCAACCAATCAGAATCAAGGACCGGAACTCTCCGTTTTATAATAGTTAACATGAACTAAGCATGAACAATAAAGCGCATTTATTAGCATTATTAAAATCAAAAGTTGTGCTTGTTAACATTAGTTAATGCACTGTGAATAACACGAACTAACAATGAACAACTGTATTTTCATTAATAACATTAACGAAGATGAATAAATACTGTAATGGATTGTTCATTGTTCGTTCATGTACATTGACTAATGTAAAGTGTTAGCATTAACATTTATGGATGCAATAATTTCATGAAAAGGAGACTTATTAACGGTTTCGTTCCCTTTGTTGTTACATATTAATACACTAACATGTGCAATGTTCACCAAGGCACTGTGACATGATGCGTTTGAAAAGGATTGTGGGGGTTTGTGTATCTATCCGTCCTCATTTACTGAGGCATGTGTTTAACAGTATTTCTCTCAGAGAGGCATATGTGATTTAGTTTTATATAAGAACTAACACAAGCCCATCATTATACTGATGAATACTGTTCTTGAAGAGGGTTTCATGTAATACCAAATCCTTGGACTTGGGACTTTTTGAACCAAAGGAATTGTTACTTTGCATTACTAATCAGATCATAAAATAGACTGCCATGTATGAAAGTATTTGGCATAACCGGTTGTGTTTGGGTTTTACGCACATTTTGTATTTTGAGTCACTTACAGCTTTGTGTTTTTTTAAAGCACATTGAAAGGAATGGTGTTCCAATGAATGCATTTCCTGTGTAGTTAATCATTTTCTCAATACTGTATTTTAAGGTTTAGAAAAGGGCTTTTGGGCATTTTTTTCACGTCCAGCTCGGTGTTCGATGTAATGAGTAATAAATTCACAACTGTGCTGCATTCAGTGTTTGTCCAGGTTTTATTTGAATCATTGTTAAACCCTTAATTTAGGGACAAAAGGATCGAGAATGATAATGGTTAGTAATTGTAAATGTTAAAAATGCTATAAAGTTTAAACCGGTCATTTGTTTAAACTTATATTAAGTGTAAAATTATATTTTAAAAGACACTGTAGTTTGTTTCTTTGTTTTCCCCCCAGTGAAGTACTAGCAGCATTTACCAGTTTGTTTCATATTTAACAAATTTTGTAGCATTGCTTTAAAGTAATAAGAGTTTCTTTTCTGTGAATAATGCATCAGAAGGTTAAAATACACGACATACAGGTGCATCTCAATAAATTAGAATGTCATGGAAAAGTTTATTTATTTCAGTAATTCAACTCAATTTGTGAAACTCGTGTATTAAATAAATTCAATGCACACAGACTGAAGTAGTTTAAGTCTTTAGTTCTTTTAATTGTGATGATTTTGGCTCACATTTAACAAAAACCCACCAATTCACGATATCAACAAATTAGAATACTTCATAAGACCAATAAAAAAAACATTTTTAGGGAATTGTTGGCCTTCTGGAAAGTATGTTCATTTACTGTACATGTACTCAATACTTGGTAGGGGCTCCTTTTGCTTTAATTACTGCCTCAATTTGGCGTGGCATGGAGGTGATCAGTTTGTGGCACTGCTGAGGTGGTATGGAAGCCCAGGTTTCTTTGACAGTGGCCTTCAGCTCATCTGCATTTTTTGGTCTCTTGTTTCTCATTTT